AAAAAAAAAAAAAAAAAAACACTACGACAAACCTATCTAATCACGGCCTAAACAAATCATTAATACAGTGCTGGAATGTAGCAGGCGTCTTGGTCAGTCCAAAGGGCATCACTATGAACTCATAATGCCCATATCTAGTCCGGAACGCAGTCTTATACTGGTCATCAGGATGGACCTCTATCTGATGATATCCGGACTTTAGATCGATCTTCGAAAAATATCTGCAGCCCCGCACTCGATCTTAGATCGTCTATCCTAGGGAGTGGCTCAGCGTTCTTTACTGTGATCGCATTCAGACCCCTATAGTCTATACACATACACAACTTTCCTTCCTTTTTAGGGACAAACGAAACTGGCGCTCCAAAAGGAGACGAACTGGGCCTAATCCAACCTTTCTCAAGGAGCTCATCCAATTCCTTGCGCAGCTCCTCTAACTCCCTAGGGGACATCCTGTAAACTGCTCCCTTAGGAGTCCTACTGTCAGGTTCTATTTCTATCCTATGTTGGATCGGCCGCGACACTACTCTTGCCGGCAGCTCTGCCAAATCCTTAAACTCTTCCAGCAGCTTGGCAATGGTCGGATCCACGGGGCTATCTTCTTCCTTAGGCTTAGTGACAGGTCGGATATAAGCTACGAAGAACTGATCCTCTAACTACTCCTTTCTTACTAGTCGCGCAAACGCGGGAGCACTGAGACAACAATGTGCCAAGGAGTTATCTACTCCTGACGCATGGAGCAAACGGGCAATCTTGACCTCGCCTGACGGACTAGGGAGCCTACACTCATGCTCTCTCAAGTGGAGTGTGGCCCCTGCTGCCTCTCCCCAATCCATGCCTAGGATGATGTCAAAAGGAAGGTCATCCTGTACGAGGAGAGTCAAGGAATGGAGAACTTTCTCCACCTTCCCATCTTTCTCTACGCGGAAATACGCCTGGACTCCCTCTACGTAGTTCTCAACACGCATAGTGCGGTTGTCGGCGAGGACACTAACTATGGGGTCTACCAACTTCTAGACTCTTAACCCTAGCCTTAGCTTCTTCAACGCTCTACGACTAATATAACTGCGGGTAGCCCCTGAATCTATAAGGGCCCCCATTCTACTCCTAGAAACCTCTACGTCAACTAACACTAGTTGTCCTTTACTATCTTTCTTCATTTTGGCCCAGGCAGGCATCCTCTCCTTCAACTCTTCTGCCACGCCTGTGAGGGATGTGCCTAGAGAGACGCTGATACAAGCAGTCTCTGGACAGCTAACTAGGCACGGACCTGCAACCTCTGTCGAAGGCTCATGTGGTGTGGGAGTTTCCTGTTCGCGTGCGCTCGCTTCCCCACATGGCCTCGTAGTAGGGGCAGTTGCAACCCCTATCGGCGGCTGCCTTTTGACTCCTGGGCAGCCCATCGGGCCTGTCTATACTTAGGACAATATTTAATAATATGGGCCAGGTCACCGCAATATATGCACTGCCCCTGGTCCATACACTGTTGCCAAACTCTCTGGTCCAAGCCCAAATCTTCCCAAAGGCCGGCCTTGTGGCCAACCTGGGTGCCAACCTCCTCTCCTTTGAGGTGACCCTCCACCTCGTTGCTGCGGCGACCGACTGGGACCTTGACGATTTGGCGGGGGACCTTGACCCCTACCTCCTCCTTGGCGGCTCCTTTGGCCGCCAAACCCCTGTGCGCCCGGTCCTCGACCTCCCGTGGCCTGGCCCCTTTGGCCCTGACCTCGTCCTCTACTTTGCGGCCTCCCTCCAGCCGCGACAGCAGCATAGGTCCTCCCCTGGCCTACACTACTGTCTTCCTCGAGCTCCCACTCAATCTCACTGTAGGGGACTTCGTTAGTACCACCCTCGTCTAAAGTAAGGATCAAATGATCCTTGGCCTTAACCTGGCTAGATATGGTACGACCTTTCCAGTTTTTGCCCTTATCTAAGTCCTTATGTCGGGACGTGGAAACTGGCATGGACTTAACCTCAAACAGGACCACTTCCCTACTCAATGCGTCATATGTGATGTTGGCCTTTGGGTCCTGTCAAAGAAATGCCCTCGCAAGGGCTCTGGCATGGCACGATAGAATAATTGGACCAACTGGGTTTCAGTGACCCGGTGGTCTGGGACGGCTACCAAGTCGTCCACGACAGCTTTGAGTGCTCGCACACTCCTCCACTGTCGCGAGTGGATGGTTTGGAGTTTGTCAGAGGCCTTGACGCCCCTTGTGACGTCAGCGAACCTCTCACGCAGGAGTTGGAGGAAAGTGGAAAGAGGGGTGAGCTTAGAGTATGCAATCATATTATGCTCGCAATCAGCAGCGCGCGCAAGGGACCTGGCGAAGCTGGCCGCTTCGTCCTTCAATCCATGGAAGGCTACGAGGACTTGTTCCTCGGGAGCGATATGCTGCAAATAAACATATGTCTTGGTGCTAGCCTCTCAGTTATCGAAACTATCGTCCTTTTTCCCGCTATGCGAATCAGGGAATTTGAGCTTTACAGGCTCCTTGCGGGGACGCGACACGGCCTCTGCCTTGGCCACTACTTTGGCACCTTCAACGGCGCCTGCGCAGAACTTCTTTGCGCCTTCCTTCAACCTTTTGACCTTGGTCCCGACGTGGGTTACCACGTCGCGCTCTCTAAAACCGGACCGGATGGCATGAAGGGTCACATCTTGACCCTTATTGGCTTGGTGTTCCTCAAGCCAAGCCTCGCTCAGGACCTCAAGATACCCCAAAATCTTATCTAATTTCGCGGGGGTCTTTATTTGTGCCTGCACCTCTTGTCTGCATGCGCGGATCTTTTCCACCTCTTTGGCCACCCGGTTGGCCTCTTCCCTCCTTCTCTTCTTCTCTCTTGCCAGCCGTAACTTCCACTCCAAGCGCTTCTCATCTTCCGCGGTCGGGCGTTCCAGGGGGTCCTCCTTTGCTTCTAATTCCTTGGCAAATGCTTCTCTCTCCTCCTGTGGCACGTACAACAGTGCCTCCTCATCCTCTCCCAACGATAAGTTAGCTACCCACTCGCTAATTTTCTTCTCCATCCATGCGTCTTCCCCCTTCATGCCACTTGTCTCTCCTCTATCTCCCCCATGCCTCCTTTCAAGGGGTTCTTCTTCTACCTCCTCCTCCTCTGCTGCTGCTTCTTCTTCGGCAGCCTTCCTCTTCTCTTCCTCCTCCTGCTGTAACTTCAACATCTTCTCCTTCTGTAATCTCATCATTTCTTCTTCCAACTTCGTCTTCTTCGCCGCCTGCTCCTCCGCTATCGCCTTCAACTTCGCTTGCTTGATGAGCTCCTTCTTCTCCCTTCTCTCTCTCAGTGTAGTGGCGGCTTGCTCCTCTTGAGCTTGGGCATAGGGGGCAGTACTCTTCCCACTACGGGTGTCAACCATGGTGTCTGGTGCACAACCGAACAACGGTTCCACTCCTCAACACTTAGACTCTACTCCCCCTGACTGACTCAACCTACTGACTCAACCTAGGGACTTACAGAATCCGGACAGGATCCTGTCAACTAGGATCTCTAGCCTAGACCTATTCTAAGGCTGTCGCTAGAGGACCTATTGCTGATCAGGAGGCATTTAAGGAGATCCCCCGTAACTCAGGAATTATTTAACGTCGCAGATAGGACGACACGATCAGCAGGTCCTCTCAAGACTTCGATGGCCTGTTGTGCAGCCCACAGCTCGGATTTTGGGCCTACCGTGCCACACCGAGCAGCCCGCCGGTCAATACCGGTCCTTGGGAGGGTTCGTGTCCTCCAGGACAGTCGAGTCGTCAGACACAATCTTTAGCCCTACTCAGCCCGTGTGGGTTTGGTCAACAAGGGCCCTATCCTTCATCCACAGAGTTCCTATCCCTTGGACAGAAGAGACTCAATGCAAAAAGAAGAGACAGACAGACTTGACTCAGCAAGTACCACAGGGTGTGTGCATATCCATAGGGCGAGGGGATAGGCTGAAGGCTTGGCGAGATTATACCGGCTCCAGCTTGGTCAAAATCGTGGTCAACAGTCTTGGTCAACGCCTGGGTCAACGCTTGGTCAATGCTGCAGTCAATGCCCCGTCAACTCCTGGTCAACTCCAGTCAACTCCGGTCAACGCCCTGTCAATTCCGGTCAACGCCCCCGGTCAGCCCTCCTGGTCAACTGTGGCTGCCGTCTTCTCCTCCTCGCCACCCTTCTCCTTCCTCTTTCCTCGCCTCTTTCTCCTTCACCCCGGCTGTCTACTCTTGTCTCCGTTTTTTTTTTTTTTTTTTTGTTCGTCTCTCCCTTCACCTTCCTTTCACCTTCTTCGTCACTCTGTGTACGAGCTCCGCGGCTATGGCCGCCTCTTCACTTCGTGGGACTGCACGGCGCTCTTCGCAGGTACGTGACAACCAAACTTGTATCGCTCATCTCTCTCTCTCTCTCTCTCTCTCTCTCTCTCTCTCTCTCTCTCTCTCTCTCTCCGTAGCGATGTCTTCA